TGGAGATATTTTTTTTTATATGTATGTGTATGTGTGTATGTACAGTATATAAAATCTCTCCACCCATTGTCCCACAAACTTTTTTTGTAGCTTCAGAAATTGTGTTTATTCTTACAGTGTTTTCCTTTTTTTTTTCCCAAACAGCAATCCAAGACAAAATTGAAACTGCATTTAGTTGTTTTTCCAACTACATCTAAATATTTAACCATTTATTCATTCATTCATTCAACCTTTATTTAAAAAGATAAGTCATGTTGATCCTTGAAGACTCATTTACAAGTGAGACCTGTAGTATACTGTATACATGTATTGATCTTTTTAAGACATCTGAAGGACATGGATGGAAATAATAATATTTGCCTCATTAAAAAACAAACCCAAGTGTGTACAGAAAGATAGAAACATTCCCATACAAGGTATTCTTCACAGATTTAATAAACTGGTACAGTCTACAGAGCAGAATTGGTTTGACAGGACCGCTTGTGCTTATTCTGCTTTTAGTAATAAATCATTACAACCTTCTGCTCTAATCAAGATAAATGAACATAAGTAATCATTGGTGTCTTCAGAAAACAACATTAACCTCTCATATATCTTCAGAACATCACCTCTGGGTTTTACAAATTCTGAACATCCTTTGTAGACGTCGTTGATTTTGTCTCTTTCTCTCTCATAAGGTGATAAGTAAAGGCGTAACTGTGGAGAACAAGTTGAAGGTTTCCGTTCAGGTCCTCACCTGCTCACCTGATGGGTAGGCTTCAGGCAAAACATTATTTGTTAATTTATTTTTATTTTTGTATGAGATTATAACATAAAATATTTGTATTTATATAATAATGTTTACCCCCACCCCCCAAAAAAATAAAAATTCTAAAAAATAAACAACTGGACATCCATTCTGTAATTGAAGACGTTTGGCTTACCATCCGGGGATCTTTGTCATTTCATTTCAGTTTAGTTTATTTATCTACCACCAAGTCACAACAGAAGTCATCTCAGGGCACTGAACAGAAATATTCATATATATAGAAAATAAGTTAACACTATTTTTCTGAGGAGCAGACTGCTTTGAATTTGACTCCATGGCAGAACTCTCATCTTGAGCAAGCACAAAGGCAACAGTGGAAAGGAAAAACTCCCTCATGAGGAAGAAACCTTTAGCAGTACCAGGCTCAGGACAAGTGGTCATCTGCTTCAACCGGCTGGGTTTGAGATTTCAAAACTGGAGAGTTTGGAGTTTCAAGCTTTGAAGGGCCCCGGCATACTCCACCTGAAGCCGAACAGTCGACACGCGGTCATGTGGTTGCAGGACGTTTGTTTACACACATTTTTCATAGTCCATGAGACACATGACGCAGAGCTCCTGGGAAACCCCGCCTGCTGCAGTATACGTCCTGTGGGTTCCTTCCCGCCGGAGTCTCCACTCACTCCCTGCATCTGCATTATGGCCACAAATTTTTCATGAAGAAGTGTATTTTAAGAGCCGTACAGCTGAATGTCAGAGTGTATCTCAGCATTGACAAACACGCCAACAAACTTCTGACCAATCGCACAATACTTGGCACATACGCCTGTGAGAAACATTAGCCCAGACCTCGTGTCAAGAAGGGGCAGGTGAAACTACTCTGAAAACAAAATGACATGATTTTATCACGCAACTACGTCAATGAGAGCTGATTTTGCGCTTCGGATGGAGTATGCAGGGCCCTTAAACTGCATGTGATGCTCTTATTCAAGCTAAACTCACATGACGATTAGTTAGTCCCACTTCCCTCCCACGGAAGAGTTGTTAAAGTCTTTGTTTGCCTGGCGTTGATGCTGTGGTAACATTCATGAAAGTGTGGATTAGGCCCAGTTCACATGTGAATGATCTTGTGCTCATTAAATCTGCTTTAGTTTCCATGCCAGGTCACTAGCTAGCGCTGTGGTTTTTGTATTTCAATGGCACATACATGCACAGGGACATTTTAGTCTTGAGTCATTCACCTTAATGATAAACATATTTTGTGATTTACAAATAATGTTCAACCTAGAGATGTGTAATATTTACTCCCCTTCCCTCTCCCAAAAAAGAAAGAATTGTAAGCATTTGATTGTGTATATATACACACTTTGTAAGCAAATTCAGGAGTTGCTGTGACCTTCCAAAAACATTTACAGTATATGTCAACATTACACTTGTTGGAACCTGTAGAATAATCCAAGACTTGTTTTTTTCTAAAGTCCTCAGAGCAGCAACTGCAGTAAGATGTTGCACAAAGATATAAGCATTCCTAAATACAGGCTGCAGCATGTAGTTACTTGAATTTGCCACATCTTTGAATAAGAACCTTTGAGATAAAAGATTAATTTTTAAAATGTGTGTGTGTATTTCTCTCATTCTAAAGCACCTTAAAGTTCTGGGATGTGAGACTTCCAAATCTGGATTACCTCAAACCGAAACCTGCGACTCCAAAGACCCCAAAGACATTCTACAGAGTCTCTGAAACGTTCAAACACCTGGACAGGACATGGAAACCATTCTTCACGGTATTGTAACATTTGGAGATTATAAAAAGAATCATGTGAATTAAATTTCACCCAATTCCTTTTGATTATTTCCAAAGTAAATAACTAATGCTTCAATGTGAAGCTAAGTAAACCACCAGTTTAACAGTTAAATTAATTTCCAATTGAATTTTAAAAGCTTAATATTATATGTTGTTTATATGTTTATTGTTGTTTGTTGTTTATATGTTTATTGTGAAAGGCTCCCTTTTCAAAGTATGAAATCAAAAAATAAAAATGGTTATCCTGAACTTTATCAAATGGTACAGAGTTTACTCCAGTAGGTTTTCAGATTTACTGATTTACAATTCTGAAATGCAGGTACGCACTCATCATAAACAAAGCCCTTAGCTGAATGATTAACCTACATTAGGCTGGTCATAGTCTGACAATGAAATCTAGACAACGACATGAGACATAGACCCTCAGAGAAGATGTTTAAGTGTAATTAAAATGAAAATATGAGTAAGACAACTGTTCAAAATAAATCACAAATTTTAATTTAAAGACACTAAACATTAACATGGATTTAAGTTCTCCATCACTGCAACAGATTTCCATAATTTTGAACGTGGCCAGGATGGATTTCTGTCATCTGTAAAAATGAGGAGGGGGTAGAAAAAATGTTTTGGTGTAGTCTTGTTAAAACCATCCAATCTAATATCCTGATGCATGCTCAATAATCCAGGTAGAAAAATCTAAAAAAGTTCAATCTGGTCCTCTGGATATTCAAAAAAAACAAAAAAAACAAAGCAAAACAACAAAAAAATGTAGAAACTCATCTCTCATCCAAGAGACTTCCTCAGACTGAGGAAGTCTCTTGGATGAGAGACGAAACGTTTCTACATTTTTTTTGTTGTTTTGCTTTGTTTTGTTTTTTTTTAATGTCCAGAGGACCAGATTTAACTTTTTTACATCCAATCTAATGATGAAACAGGGATTAAACTGACTTTGCTTTCAACCATTAAAGAGAACCAGAGCCACAGTTTGACCTAATCAGAACAGAGCAGGGCAGGCATGCTGTCTGATACACTGTGAGCCCAGTGAGCAGCACAGAGAAACTGCAGGTGAAAGCTTGCCTGCAGCAAGCCAAGGAGGATACCCCGCTCCCCTAACAGAACCACCTGCACCCCCCATGAAGATGATGACATAATAAATTATTAAATGCATGTGTTGGCAAGGTAAAGACCTCTTATGATAAGCACAAACAACGGAAACACTGTTCCCTCGCCCGGACGTGGGTCACCGGGGCCCCACTCTGGAGCTGGGCCTGGAGGTGGGGCAGGCTGGCGAGCGCCTGGTGGCCGGGCTTTTACACATGGAGCCCAGCCGGGTACAGCCCGAAGAGGAGACGTGGGTCCCCCTTCCCATGGGCTCACCACCTGTGGGAGGGGCCAAAGGGGTCGGGTGCAATGTGGGATGGGTGGTGGCCAAAGGCGGGGACCCTAGCGGTCTGATCCTCGACTACAGAAGCTGGCTATTGGGACGTGGAATGTCACATCTCTGGTGGGGAAGGAGCCTGAGCTGGTCTGTGTGTGTGAGGTTGAGAGGTTCTGGCTAGAAATAGTCGGACTCACCTCAACACATGGCTCTGGCTCTGGAACCAGTTTCCTTGAGAGGGGTTGGACACTTCCACTCTGGAGTTGCCCCTGGCGAGAGGCACAGAGCAGGAGTGGGCATACTTGTTGCCCCCCATCTTGGTGCCTGTACGTTGGGGTTCACGCCGGTGAACGAGAGGGTAGCCTCCCTCCGCCTACGTGTTGGGGGACGGGTTCTGACTGTTGTTTGTGCTTATGCACCAAACGGCAGCTCAGATTACCAACCCTTTTTGAAATCCTTAGAGGGGGTACTGGAGAGTGTGCCTACTGGGGGCTCCCTTGTTCTACTGGGGGAATTCAACGCTCACATGGGCAATGACAGTGAGACCTGGAGGGGTGTGGTTGAGAGGAACGGCCCTGATCTGACCCGAGTGGTGTTCTGTTGTTGGACTTCTGTGCTCGTCATGGATTGTCCATAACAAACACTATGTTCAAGCATAAAGCCCCCAGTATACTCCTGTGTACGTCCATTCATGCGTACGTACGCGTGTACTGTATGCAGAGGGTTCACACTTGATACTCAAGCGTACACCCTGAGCAGCTGCAGAGCAGCTTCACAGACAAGGGGCGTTTACCTTCGGGACAAATAGAGCTCACTGATTGGTCATTTACTGACACGCCTACTGGATTGATTGACAGGTCAGAAGAAAAAAAATTAGCGCTAGCAGCCTCAGCTGCAGCGGTGTTCTGTGTTTATGTGTTGTTAATAAAAAGATATACATTTTTTTTTAAAAAACAGGGTGCGCTGGCTCTGCAGCCCACACATCAGACTAGCCCACCAGGACATCTCCAGACCCTCCTGCAACCACGCTGGACCTGAGTTTAATTCGCTCATGACAAATTCCTTCATTTCTCACCATTTCAGTCATGGAGTCAACGGAGGCGGAAGAGATCACTTACCTCTTGGCAAATAAACAAAAGAAAAAGCCAGATCAGGGATGAAGAAGGGGATTTTAATACATTGGTGTCTCATACAAAACAGTCCGTCGCTGGGCAGTTTATTGTGCAACACCACGTACACGGTCGTAAAAATTTAGCTTTGCACGGACATGCCATGGGGCGTGTCCACTACCTGGTGTTGAGTCGGCTCCGATGGTGGGGGAGGATGCCAGTCAGACCTGGCAGACCCAATTGTATTGTGAGGGTTTGCTGGGAATGTCTGACAGAGTCTCCTGTGAGACGGAGCTTTAACTCACACCTCCGAGAGAGCTACGAACACATTCTGGGGGAGGCGGGGGACATTGAGTCCGAGTGGACCATGTTCTACGCCTCTATTGTCAAGGCGGCTTATCGGAGCTGTGGCCACAAGGTTGTCAGTGCCTTTCGCAGCGGTAATCCTCAATCCCGGTGGTGGACACCGATGGTGAGGGATGCTGTCAGGCTAAAGAAGGAGTCCTATCGGGCCTTTTTGGCCTGTGGGACCCCGGAAGCAGCTGATGGGTACTGGCAGTCCAAGCGGCATGTGGCTCGGGTGGTCGCTGAGACAAAAACCCGGGCGTGAGAAAAGTTCGGAGAGGCCATGGAGAATGACTTCCGTACGGTTTCGAGGTGATTCTGGTCCACCATCTGGCATCTCAGGGGGGAGGGAAGCGGTATGCCACCAACACTATTTACAGTGGAGGTGGTGTGCTGCTGACCTCAACTTGGGATATCGTGGGTCGGTGGGCAGAATATTTCGAAAACCTCCTCAATCCCACAGGCACGTCTTCCATTGAGGAAGCGGAGCCTTGGGACTTTGGGTTGGGCTCTCCAATCTCTGGTTCTTAGACCACAAAGGTGGTTTAAAAGCTTCTCGGTGGCAGGGCCCCAGGGGTGGATGAGATTCACCCGGAGCTCCTTAAGGATCTGGATGTTGTGGGGTTGTGTTGGCTTACACGACTCTGCAATATTACGTGGACATTGGGGGCAGTTCCCCTGGATTTGCAGACTGGGGTGGTGGTCCCCCTATTCAAAAAGGGAGACCGTAGAGTGTGTTCCAACTACAGGGGGATCACACTCTTAAGCCTCCCTGGAAAGGTCTATTCAGGGGTTCTGGAGAGGAGGGCCCATTGGATAGTCAAACCTTGGATTCAGGAGGAGCAGTGCATTTTTCATTCTGGTCTTGGAACACTGGACCAGCTCTACACCCTCAGCAGGGTCCTGGAGGGTGCGTGGGAGTTTGCCCAACCAGTCTACATGTGCTTTGTGGACTTGGAGAAGGCATTTGACCGCGTCCCTCGGGGAGCCCTGTGTACTCCGGGAGTATGGGGTACCAGGCCCTTTGATACGGGCTGTTAGGTCCCTGTATGACCGGTGTCAGAGCTTTGTCCGCATTGCCGGCAGTAAGTCAGGCTCGTTCCCAGTGAGAGTTGGACTCCGCCAAGGTTGTCCTTTGTCAACGATTCTGTTCATAACTTTTATGGATAGAATTTCTAGGCGCAGCCAAGGTGTTGAGGGGATCCGTTTTGGTGGGCTTAGGATCGCTTCTCTGTTTTTTGCAGATGATGTGGTCCTATTGGCTTCATCAAGTCGTGATCTACAGCTTTTGCTGGAGCGGTTCGCAGCCGAGTGTGACGCGGTTGGGATGAGGATCAGTTCCTCCAAATCCGAGGCCATGGTCTTGAGCCGTAAAAGGGTAGAGTGCCCTCTCCGGGTTGGGAGGAGGTCCTGCCCCAAGTGAAGGAGTTCAAGTATCTCGGGGTCTTGTTCACCAATGAGGGAAAAATGGAGCGTGAGATCGATAGGCGGATAGATGCAGTGTCAGCAGTGAAGCAGGCGCTGCACTGGTCTGTCATGGTGAGGAGAGAGCTAAGTCAAAAGGCGAAGCTCTCAATTTACCGGTTGATCTACTTTCCTACCCTCATCTATGGTCATGAGCTTTGGGTTGTGACCGAAAGAACAAGATCACCGATACAGGTGGCCGAAATGAGTTTTCTCCACAGGGTGTCTGGGCTCTCCCTTAGAGCTAGGGTGAGAAGCTCGGTCATCCGGGAGGGACTCAGAGTAGAGCCGCTGCTTCTTCACATCGAGAGGAGCCAGTTGAGGTGGCTCAGGCATCTGGTTAGGATGCCTCCTGGATGCCTCCCTGGTGAGGTGTTCCGGACACGTCCCACCGGGAGGAGACCCAGAGGAAGACCCAGGACACGCTGGACGGACTATAAGTTTCTCGGCTGGCCTCGGAATGCCTTAGGATTCCCCCGGAGGAGCTGGCCCAAGTGGCTGGGGAGAGGAGGAGAGGGAAGTCTGGATCCTTCATGTAGGCCACATCGTCCCCTTTGAAAACATTTGGAGCTCATCATTCATGAATGGGAAAAAGCTTTTTGTGCTGGTCTCCACAGGTCCCAAATGTGTAGCAAAGAAAAAAAATAGAATATTGTGAGGAGAAGAGGCAACAGCAAACTAGATGTTTTTCAAAAAGCATGAAAAAAAAATTTTCAGCCCCCGAGCTGTGATTGTTGTAACATCATCATTCCAACGCAGGGCCCGTGACCCAACCCCGGATAAGCGGAAGAAAATGGATGGATGGATGAATGGATGGATGTGTTGGCAGCCAGGAGAGATACCAGACATGATTCACCTTCACACCGCCCCTTCCTCCTGCACTTGGAGGACTTTTGTATCTAAAATTTAACTTTGTGTTAAATGTTAATGTGTTCAGAGCATCGTCATCATTGTACAGACGTGCAACCTCCGCACGTGACCGAACTCCTGGTCAGTGAGAGAGATGTGCAGGGAGTGTGCAGCTCGTTGAGTTTCTCTCACAATGAGACAGGCTGTTTCTGCTGCTTTGTTTAAAAAAAATAAATAAATAAGGCTAAAAGATGAAAATGTATATGACTCAGATTATAGCAGGGATGGGTTTCTCTGTTTAACTTTAATTTTAACCCCAAATTAACAAAGTTCGCTCAGTGAGAGTCATTTTCAGGTGTTTGTCATTTATCATTATCTAAAAAAAATCAATTCTACACGGTGTTTTAGCAACAACAAGGTGTTGTAGCGGTTTGGATGAGCTGAACTTGGATTATATTTAGAACCACACTGAGAGGTAACTGCACTGTGATAAATGTAACATAAAACATGATCAAATAAGAAATTAAATACTATTAAATGACTACATGAGCTGAAATTATGTAATATAATCCCAAGTAATAATAGTCATTTTAGAGGAGAAATCAGTACGGAAGCTGTAATTCTAGAAAAAACAAAGGTCATTTACAATCTGCATAGGATTGGACTTCCTGTGCTATAATTTATTAAAATATATCTGACAACCTCTCACTTGAGAACAATGAAATGACATAAAAGTAAACTAAAGAAAAGTTGTTGAAGCCCGTCTTCTCCTTCAGAATGATGTTGGTCTTGGTGCTTCATTAGAGAACACTTCTACTGTGTACTTTGACCAAGTTCATCTGCCCAGTATACTCTACAAATCATGTACTGTACACAGTAAGCTGTGTACTTTGACAAAGTTCATGAAAACCTTTGAGAAGTGACCTGTATGCAGGAAAAACCTCTCAAATGTGTGGTACTGGTGTGTATTTCTACACCTCTAGGTGTAGAAAAAAAAATCCAATTTTTTATTTTATTTTATTTGTTTTAATCCATGAATTAATATGAGAAAAACATTGTACATATTTTTTATTACTCCAGATATTTTGGGGTGAGTGTCTGAAATATTTTTTAAAGTTTTATCATTATTATTTTATTTTTATTCTGTTGAGTTTCAGTCAATCTGATGTGGAGTAAAATCATCTCTTCTCTGTCATGTGTCAGGTTTATCTCTTTAAGGTTGATGATGTTGGAACATACAGTCCTTGGAAGTTCTGCTTTCACCCTTACACCAGTGATGGTGTCACAGGTAAGAACACTGGAAAAACATTTTACCCTTCAGGATGTGAAGGGCAGCACGGTGGCACAACTGGTAGAGCTGCTGCCTCTTAGCGAGCAGGTCCCTGGTTCAAATCCCGGTCCGGGGGCCTTTCTGGGTGGAGTTTGTATGTTATATCTGTGCATGCGTGGGTTTTCTCCGGGTGCTCTGGTTTCCTCCCACAGACCAAAAACATGCATGTTAGGCTGATTGGTAACTCTAAATTGTCCCTAGGTGTGAGTGAGAGAGTGAATGGTTGTTTGTCTCGTTTGTCTCTATGTGTCCCTGTGATGGACTTGCGACCAGTCCAGGGTGTCCCCCGCCCCTCGCACAGTGATTGCCGGACATGGGCACCGGCGAAACCCCGTGACCCAAAATGGAAGAAGCGGGTAAAAGATAATGGATGGATGGATGTGAGATGTTTGTTTCTGCTTCAGTTTTTGAATTTTATTCATTTTCATCCAATCAGTTGCACAAATAAGTATTAAATATTTGTGCAGTAAATTTGTACTGATTTTGATGGGGGGGGGGGGGTTCCTCCAAAATACTCAGTTAAACTAGCTTTAACGTTATGTTTTATTTCCAACATTCTTAATAAATTAAACATTTTCAGAATGACAGTAACTTATTTTTTACTTTTGATGCTTCAGGATTTCTAGAGATATTATTTTTACTCACTTTTATTCCCTCCTACTGACTCGTTTAGTCCAGCTACACACCACACTTCCATTTCTTCTGTTCGTCTGCCTTCTGGTTTATGATCAGACAACTAAGCAGACTGGACCAATGCTGCTGTCCAGTTAGCATTACTTATTCCCTTTAAACACTAGACCTTCACATTAACTAAATGTAGTCCTATCTCTCCTTGTAGGTGTTTTTTTTTTTTTTTTTTTGCAAGTGCATGTTTAATGTGCATATTTCATGCTGCTGTTGTTCGGCGTATTGTTTTTGTACTATTGGTGCTTAGCATTTTCTTAGTTTAGCGTATTTCTTAGTTCATATCTTAGATCTTATTACTGTTTTTCTTTTACAATTTATACTTCTGTTTGATGTAACTGGGACCCTGTGTACACAATTTTGTTCCACCACATGTACCACTTATGATGCAAATGACAATAAAGAAACCTTGACCTTGACCATGACCTTTAAAGGTCATGCCATCTTTCTTCATTTGCTAAAATATGCTGTTTATCTTGATTTCTCATGCAGAAAATGCCTCAGGAGTCATCGCTGACTATAGACAACTCACAATCCCCTCGAGCAAAACACTCAAGACTCTGGAAGATGTTAACACAAAGATTTATGTTGGAACACTGGTAAAGTGCTTTTAAACAATAAAACTAAGCAATACTTAGCAATAGGAGGAGAAATATTAAATATGCGTAGCTTTGTTCTGTATTTCTTTTATTTTTCAGCAAGGTGAAATTGTTTGCACTGACTGGAAAGGTATGTTGCCCTGTAAGTGGATGGGTTTAATGCTGTTGTGGTTGTAAGAACATAAATATGTATTTCTGACTCTTAACCAGCATTTTGATATCAAACCAAAGCATTAGGATTGGCTCATAAGACAATTACCCCAGATATATCAAATAAGATTAGAACCACTTTCACAGTAAACTTCACAGTAAAAACTTTGTTTGTTTTTGGTTGACATTCAACATGTTCAAAATTTATAGGATTGCAAATGTTTTTTGATTGTTTCTTGTTGTTGTTAACTTTTAAATGATTAGAAACAATTTTTTTTGTCAAGTGAAATTTTTATTTATTTATTATGGGTTACTTCTTTCGCAGAAATCAAACCCCTCCACTGTTTCAATGCTTGTCACGGCATGGTGCACACTGTTCAGCGATCCCCCTTCTTGAAAGACGTTATTCTAACGATAGGAATATGGAAATTTGCCATTTCCAAGGAAGGAGTCATGGTAAGAAAGAAGAGAGGCTGCTTCTGCTGCTTTAGTTTTTTTTAAATAAATATTAATGCTAGACGGCACGGTGGCGCAGTTGGTAAAGTTGTTGCCTGTCAGCGAGAAGTTCAAATCCCGGTCCAGGGACCTTTCTGGGCAGAGTTTACATGTTCTCTCTGAGCATGCGGGGTTTCTCCGGGTACTCCGGTTTCTTCCCACAGACCAAAGACATGCATGTTACGCTAATTGGTAACTCTAAATTATCTCTAGGTGTGAGTGAGAGAGTGAATGGTTGTTTGTCTCATTTATCTCTAAGTGTCCCTGTGATGGACTGGAGACCTGTCCAGGGTGTCCCCCACCTCTCACACAATGATGGCTGGACATGGGCGCCAGTGACCCCAGCGACCCGAAAAGAAAGAAGTGGATGAAGATAATGGATGGATGCTATTAATGCTAAAAGATGAATATTTATATTCCCCAGATTTTAACAGAAATGTGGGTCTTTATTTAATATCCTGATGCATGCTCAATAATCCTTTATTTAACTTGAAATTTATCACCAAAACTCACGACGTTCTGTCTGAGTTTGTAGTTCATCATCAATAACTGCTAATTCATTTCTACATGTTATTATAACATTAACAAGGTGTTGTGGTTATTTTGATGAGCTAAACTTGCTTATATTTAGAACCATACTGGGAGGTAACTGTACTGTGATCAGTGTAATATAATAAATGATCAAATATGAAAAATAAACTATATAGCTGAAATCCTGTAAATATAATCCTATTGGGGGAAAAAAACATAATTCCAAGGGAGAAATCAGTGGATCTGGCAAATAAAAAAAAAATGTAAATAGTAAATGGACTGTACTTATATAGCGCTTTTCTATCTTATCTAGCTACTTAAAGTGCTTTACACTACAATCTGTGTCCTCATGTACCCATTCATACAGCACTCTACTAGATCTAGACAAAGACTAATCAGTGCTTTATCACATTCCTACACCAATGGGACACATATCTGAGGCAATGAGTGGTACAGTGTCTTGCCCTGGGACACTTCGGCATGTGACTGCTGGTGGAATCAAACCCCCAATTCTTGCATTGGAGGACAATTGTTTTTAGTTTTAAATTTAAGTTAATTTATCCTCTGTAAAGGACTTCCTGTGCAATATATACTTTTTAAAATATATCTGACAACCTCTCTATTGAAAACACTGAAATGAAATAAAATAAACTAGAGAAAAGTTGTTTTAAACCCCTCTCTTTCAGAATGCCAGTGGTCTTGATGGTGCAGGTTAAAGACTTCTTACAACTTCAACACTTCATTAGAGAACACCAAGTACATTTACTAAAGTCATGTGCACAGTATACTGTGTACTTTTACTAAAGTCATGTGCACAGTATACTGTGTACTTTTACTAAAGTCATGTACACTGTATAGTGTGTACTTTTACTTAGATCGTGTACACAGACAGTATACTCCTCTTTATGTAGAAAATTTTGAACTTTGAGGAGAAGTGACCTGATGCAGGAAAAAGCTCAAATGTTTGGTATGGATCAGAGAAGGGGGTGGCAGGGGGTGGGTTGTCTTGGGTTCTCAGATGTAGATAATATTTAAGTCAAAATATATGTTTCTGCTTTCATACCTGCTTTTTTAAACTTTTCCCAAACATCCAGGAGGGCCCCGTGTTTGAATCAGCACACTCTGAAGAGTATTACTGTTCGGGGTGCTGGTCTTTGACCCGACCTGCCGTGTTCTTCATTGGGAGAGACAATGGCAGCATTGAGGTGTGGAACCTGCTGGAAGACACTACAAAACCTTCACAAGTCTACGAGTCCATCAGCAAAAACAGGATAACCTGCATCAAACCCTGGACCGTCTCCTGTAAGTTTCTCTGTCTGGTCTTTTTGTGTCTGGATTTACTTTTGATGGAAATTTAAATAAACTGCAATTAAATAAGTTGTTTAACAGTCAGATAGTTGGCTTTAATCTCCAGCCCCTCCACTTGGTCAACACTACTCTCACAATATTCTCTGTTTTCCTTACTCTTCCTGCTGAGGAGCAAGGTGATGCTTAGACCTCTGTTTGATTGATTTTATCACAGCTTTGTTTCTTTGCTAAATAAATTTGAACCATTTACTGCTATGTAGTCTTTGTTTACTTCCAGCCAAGCAGCATTTCTTGGCAGTGACAGACGACCTTGGAGTTCTCCGGGTTTTTGAAATGTCAGAGAAGCTCTGCATTCCCTCCAAGAATGAGGTACGTCAGCCTAGTAGGCTAACTCCACCTTTTCATCATATTTACATTAGCATCAGTTTAAGGTTTACTAATACTGAATGACAACAGGCATCAAACATGTCATGGAGTTGTTGCTTTATTAATTTACAGGCAATATTTAAATGGCTGTCTATGAAAACGTCACACATTTCACTGGTGCTTGCTTTTTATTTATGTCTAGAGTTTGCACATGAAGAAGTACCTGGAACATGAGACAGAAGCCACAAAATATTTTGCTAAGCAGAAGAAAACCTGGGCAAAACAGAAAAAGGAGGAAAAAGAAAAAGAACTCGAGAAGAAAATGGTAAGCCACCATTTTAAATTGAAAAATTCAGTTCTTGTGTGGAAAAACTCTGGATATTTAAAGGTCAACAGAGATGTGGTCCTGAAAAACAAAGGGGGCTTAGTTAGATAGGATTTGTAACCATTTTATCTACCACTGTAGATAATTGGTGTCTAATTATTTGAGCCCAAACAGTTTTATTTTTTTATCTATTTATTTTATTTTATTTTATTTTATTTATTCTGGTTTTTGAGCCAGAAGTGAGTACATGGAGTAAAAGGGAAGATAGCCAACCTATCAATTAAATTTCACAAGTTGTAAGTTATGTTAACCGTGACCATTAGGAGGACACTAATTATTTGTCATTAGCTCATCAGGAGCAGTACTGTATTCACATTTCAATTTATATTAAAGTCACACAGTTTGAAACTATTAAATAAATGTTTACATCATTAAAATAAAAATAAAAAAGGTGTCTACTTGTCAAGAGAATAAATCCAAAATAATAATAATAAACCCAAGATTAACCTCAAGGAACATTCTTCTCAGGTTGTTTACTATTGAAGTAGCCTTGAATGAGATGTTCCTCTGATAAATCCTTACTGGCAGTCAATGTGCACATGCATTTGTTTTAAAATCTGTTCAAATGTGTGCCACTTCATTTATAGACTGTACAAATACTGACGAAGGCTGGATGTCTTTGTCTCTCTGCCTTACTGTCAGTGTCCCTCCTTTCTTCCTTCATGTTTAATTCATTTGATTGTTATTTGATCTTGGCCACTGGGAACTGCTGTTCCTGGCAGTGTCTAAGCTAAATCTTTAAGTGGCTAAATGTTTCCATCTTAGCCTGGATGGCGCTCCAGTGTGAGTGCAGTTAGAATTTTAGCTTTTGCTCAATAATCTAGTGTCTGTAGTGGTTTATTTTTGTTCCTGTTACACATGAATTTCCAACTCAGGCTGCTATGTTCACCCCTCTGTTGATTGTCGACATTAATACAGCAGTACTGATTCAGAACAAGTAAGACAAGGAGAGTTTGTAAGGTGCCAAGGGTGATCATCGGACATCCATCTGTTCAGTTTTTACATCTTTTTCATCCTGTTCATAGGTCAGAGAGGTGGAGTACGCCTTAGACAGATCGCCCAGCTTATACAGAAACACACACATCTACGGTCAATTAGTGGACCTAACATGTGTTTTTGGAGGGTGAGGGGAAACAAGAGAAAACCCATGCATGCACACACAGAACATGCAAACTCCACACAGAAAGGTCACAGAAGGATTACAAGCTCAGGACCTTCTTGTTTGACAGCTACAAATTAGTAGTTTTACTTTGTGAATATTTTCCTTGTAAATTTGTGATTTCTACAAAATTAATATGTATTCAGTGTAATGGCAGCAGAGCTTTAAAAGAGTCATAAAATGATAGCTCTACATTACTTTAAATGATACGTGAATGAGAACATTTTAGTCAAGCTACTTTTGATTATGTATTGTTAGTTTTTTATGCTTTGATTTAAAATCAGTTTGTTTGTTTTTTTTTTCCCCTGCAATATCAAACTGAAACTGGACTGAAGATATCAGCAGTAAAGGGTACTGGGTATTTTAATGTGCCCTGTCTTTTGCAACCCATTTTCAGTGATAGTAATTTGTTTGCGGTTTTGTTTTTAGACATCCGACAAACCAGTCAAGACCCCAGAAGAGGAGGAAAAGTTGGAACTGAAGGAGTACAAAGATTTCCTCATGCTGGAGGAATCCATCCTGAAGAAGTTGGGTGTGCAGAAAGGAGAGGTGAAACTGTGAAACCGTGACTCTTAGAGCTAAAGTTTGATTAATTGTGCCGTCATGCAATCTGGACAGTTTTTAAAATGTTACTATTCTAAACAACTGTTTTGTAGAAACAGAGAGTGTAATGTCTTTTTTTTTTTTCATTCAACCTTAATTTAGGCAGAATAATAAGATTTTTTTCTTCTTTCTGCTGCCTTTCATTTTAAATCTCTTGTATTTTTTTTATATATAGTTATGAAACTGTTTTGTATTTTTAAAATGAATAAACTTTATACCATACCATATTTAGACAGGTAAATCCCTTTGAGCCTCGAGGACTCATTTACAAGAGAGACCTGATTTCAACAAAGAATGATGACAACAATGGACAACAGCGACAACAATAATCAGTTATAAAAAGGCATACTCCAGTTTTTTTTTTTTTTAAACAAATAGGATGGCTAAAAAAAAGGTAACAAAAAAACAGCTAGATTCTAAGGCGAATGTAGAAAACTAAAAACAGGAACATGTCTGCATTGGTCCCTGCCAGGAGTCCAACAGATTCTTAAAGCCACTTAGAGAGGTCAAGGTCGAGAGCTTCAAATGTTTTTGTATGGTATTCCAGGAAACAGGAGCTGAGTAGGAGAAGGCCCTCTTGCCTAGTTTAGTCCTCACTGAAGGAACACTGCAGGTAATAATGTCCTGAGAGCGCATGCCGTAGCTGCACTCAATAATAATAATAATAATAATAATGAATTTAATTTGTAACGCACTTTTCATTAACAAAAATCTCAAAGTGCTACAGAGTGCAACTAAAATCAATGATAAAATCAACTAAAATCTGTGATAAAAATCAATTAAAATCAATGATACAATCAACTAAAATCTGTGATAAAATCAACTAAAATCTGTGATAAAATCAACTAAAATCAATGATACAAACAACTAAAATCAATGATACAATCATGTGGAGGCAGAATAGGCTTGCCTAAAAAGAAAAGTCTTTAAGCCTTTTTTAAAGTCAGTCAATGATTGTGGAGCTCTCAGATATTCAGGGAGGGAGTTCCAGAGGCGGGGGGCAGCCACACAGAATGCCCGATCTCCCATGGTTCTTAATTTAGTTCGTGGCAGGTGGAGGAGATGACTGTTCTGTGATCGTAGGGACCGGGTGGATGAATATGGAGCAAGAAGGTCCTTCAGATAATCTGGTGAATTTCCATATAAACACTGATGGGTAATGAGGGCAATTTTGTACTGAATTCTGTAAGTGACAGGAAGCCAATGGAGGTTATGGAGAATGGGTGTAATATGTTCAAATTTACGAGCTCTCAATAAAATCCTGGCTGCACTGTTTTGAATATATTGAAGCTTCTGAAGGTTTTTGCCGGGTATTCCAGTAAACAGGGAGTTGCAGTAGTCGAGCCTGGAGGAGACAAAAGCATGGACGAGTTTCTCTGCATCAGCAAAAGTGAGAGATGGGCGCAGTTTGGAGATATTTCGAAGATGGAAGAAACAGGTTTTAAACAGATGCTTAATGTGATTTTCAAATGTAAGATGAGAGTCCATTTTTATTCCAAGATTTGTAACAGAGGTGGTGGAGAGGAGGATGTCTTGTCCGGAAAATGAAATAGTCGTTATAGTTGAAGTTTGAACCTGGTGAGGGGTGCCAATCAGTATGGCCTCTGTTTTGGAGCAGTTTAACTGAAGAAAGTTCTGATTCATCCATGCCCTAATCTCCTCCAGGCAGGTAGAGAGGGCAGCGAGTGAAGATGGAGATGACAGTGGTGAAGATGATGCTCCGGTCCTGATGTAAAGCTGTGTATCGTCGGCATAACAGTGAAAAGAAATGTTGTACTGATTAATAATTTGACCTAAAGGCAACATGTAAAGGGAAAATAGCAGGGGCCCTAAAACTGACCCTTGAGGGACACCACAGGAGACACAGACGGTCTGGGACTTGGCATTGCCAAGACTAACACATTCCAGCCTATTGGAGAGGAAAGATTTAAACCAGTCCAGGACAGTGTCACAGAGACCGACCTCCACATGAAGACGGTGGAGGAGGATACTATGGTCCACAGTGTCGAAAGCTGCAGTGAGGTCAAGGAGAACAAGAAGGGAGGGAGAACCAGTGTCAGCAGCCATGAGGACATCATTGGTGACTCTCAGCAGTGCGGTCTCAGTACTGTGAGCTGCACGGAAGCCAGACTGAAACTTCTCATACAGGGAGTGTTGTTGTAGGTGGATCTGCAGCTGAGCAGCAACTGCTTTTTCCAGCACTTTTGACAGAAATGGGAGGTGAGAAATTGGGCGGTAATTAGAAAGAATGTCTGGATCCAAATTAGATTTTTTCAGAAGAGGCCTAATGATGGCAGTTTTAAGAGGCAGTGGAACTTGACCAGATTGCAGTGACTTATTTATTATTTGTGTGATTAATGGGCTTATTGCAGAGTGATTGGATTTAATGAGAGGCGAGGGGAAAGGATCCAGGGCGCAGGATGAAGGCTTCATTTTCTTGATGATGGTCTCCACTTCACTCAGAACAACCTCATCAAAGCAGCTCAGGGACCCAGAATGCAGACAGGTAGATGGCAGATGAAGATCAGGGAGGCTATGGAGCTGAGATCTAATGGAGTTAACTTTGTTTTTAAAAAATGAAAGGAACAGGTTGCATTTTTGAACAGAGTCCTCATGAGATTGTTTAATGGGATTAAGGAGATGATTTATTGTGGAGAAGAGTTGTTTAGAGTTTCCAGGGCAGTTGTTGATGATGTTGGAATAATATTTGGACCGTGCTTCTTTAAGAGAAAAGGCGTAGGCTTTCTGATGTTCTTTATATGCCTGCTGATGTACAGAGAGACCAGATGATTTTACACGTCTCTCAATAGCACGGCCAGCTGCTTTCATCTTGCGCAGCTCAGCAGTGTACCAAGGGGCTGAACGGGAGAAAGACACCAGCCTTGCTTTAAAGGGAGCATGGAGGTCCAGAAGCTCCTGGAGAGATTGGTTGTAGTAATCCACAGAGTCATTTGCAGATGAATGATTGACAGCGGTCAGGGAGTGGAGATCAGAGGACAGAACCTCAGGGGAAATGTTTTTAAAGTCACGGAACTGGATAAGTCGTTTAGGATTAGGAGCAGATGAAGTTGAAGGCACTTCCAGGGAGATGACACTGTGGTCTGAGACACCCAGGTCATATACAGATAAGTTATTGATAGGTACAGTGTCTGTAATCACCAAATCCAGAGTGTGCCCCCTGTTGTGCGTAGGGGCGTCAACATACTGAGTGAGATTGAGAGAATCCAAAAGGGACTTAAACTCTGCTGCCAGAGGGGAAGAGGAATTATCAATGTGGATATTTAAATCTCCAAGAATAATATTTTTCACAGGAGATGCGCAGAAAAAAGTGAGGAGGTCATGCATCTCTGAGTTAAATGAAACATGTGGTTTGGGAGGCCGATAAATCAATATAACATTCATCAGGAGGGGGGCTTTGAGGTTGAAGGCCAAACATTCAAAAGACAAGAAGTCCCGAGAAGCTAAATGTGATAATTTTAAATTACTGCGGTAAATTACAGCCAGACCACCACCACGGCCAGTGCAGCGGGCTTTCTGCAGGTAACTGTATCCAGAGGGACAGGCTTCATTCAGAGAGCTGTACACATCTGGTTGATGCCATGTTTCAGTAAGGCACAAGAGGTCCAAATTCTTCTCCAGAATATGATCATGAATAAGACATGATTTATTGGATAGCGATTGAACATTGAAAAGTTCTATTTTAATAATGGTTGGAGTAGAAGCCTTTAGAAGGGGTTTAAGCAGCCTGAAGTCCACTCCACGTTTTCCTTGCCACTTCGTGCGCTGTGTTCTTTCAGCAATATCAGGGACTACAGAGGCAGCGTTCCGATGACGTAATCGATGTGCGGCAGGACCGGTAGACCAGATGGAAGGGATGGAGTCAGACCCAGCTTGCCGAGAGTAAACAGTTCTCTTCCGAGAGCCTCTATGGACATAACGAGGTCTACGCAGAAGGCCCAGTTGTTTAATGGTAGAAACAGAAGGAGGGATGGAGCAGTTGTTGAGTCCAATCAGCTGGGAGGCGGAGTAGGTCAACATCGACGAGCCAGCCAAGCCGGGGGAAGCTAGCACAGAGCTAGCCGCTAACAGCAGACCCACAGCTCCGAAAAGGATATCCAAAAGACAGTGCGATGTAATCCACAGCATAGCACAGGAAAAAAATCCAGCAAAAGATGACAAACTGGAACAATCCAGATGACACAGGAGGTTGACAGAAGCAGCAAGGTGAGCGCAATAGTTGCTAGTTCTTCAAGCAAAGTCCGAGCCGCCGTGCTGGAGTTGTATGTTTGACAGCAATAGTCCCAAATTCCTGTTAGGGAGTGCTAATAAGCTGTCTGTTATAAGTACTGATTGAGAAATTACTGAACAAAAATAAGTCCAGATAAATGTCCACGAATATAGCAACAGTATAATGACTTTTTAGCGCGGAGAAGCGGCGAACATGCAGCGCCAGCGTCCTCTGGTCATTATGGACTGCATGTGCATTTTTCCACAGAGACATGTAAGAGGAGATGTATGTGAGAGAGTCTGCGTGAAGTTAATGATGTCCAGTTAACCAGTGAATACAGGGTGCAGTGGTGGGTACGATAATCACAGCCAGTTATGAATCTTAGTGCACCATGATAGACAGCATCCAACATCTGCAGAGTTCTTGTAGGAGCGTTCATGTAAATAATATCACCGTAATCAATGGAGGGAAAGAAAGTCACAGATACAAGGCACTTCTTAGCATTCAGTGTTAGACAGGATCTTTTTCCGAAAAAGAAACCCAGTTTAACTTTCAGTTACTTTACCAAGTTTTCCACATGAAGCTTAAAAGAGAGATGCGAGTAGACCAAGATACCCAAATATTTATAGGAACCCAGAGCTCATGACCATAGGTGAGGGTAGGAACGTAGACTGACCGGTAAACAGAGAGTTTTGCCCTACAGCTCAGCTCTCTCTTCACTACAATATGGACTGGTACAGAGTCCGCAATACTGCAGATGCTGCACCAATCTGTCTGTCAATCTCACGCTCTCTTTCCTCACTCGTGAACAAAACCCAGAGATTCTTGAACTCCTCCACTTGAGGCAGAACCTCACCCTCAGAGATCTGCATCTGAATTATTTTTTTTATAAAAGCCTTTATCCTTTATTGTCAGATAAAAGAGAGCAGTGGATGTTTAAAAAAAAGGTTTAAGCTCAATCATCCAGGTAGATAACAACAAAAATGGTTAAAGCGTGTCATCTGGACCAGTTTCTTTAATTGAGAAACATTTCATCCTCCATCCAGAGGACTTCATCAGCCTACAGCCTGCCAACCTGTTCTGTCCCATGAAGCCTTCACTGCTGTGTTTCAAACCAACCTCCTGTTGGCCATTAGAGCAGCCAATCAGAGCAGTGGATGATAATTGCAGCTGCATAATCCTTACACCTGTGGGATTCGCTCTGAAATTTGCCACACAATTGTCAGAAGTATCCATCCATCCATTATCTTTTACCCGCTGTTTCCTTTTGGGGTCACGGGGGTCACTGGTGCCCATATCCAGCAATCACTGTGCGAGAGGCAAGATACACCCTGGTTAGTCTGCAAGTCAGGGACACAAACAGACAAATGAGACAAACGACCATTGACCCTCTCACTCACACCTAGGGACAATTTAGAGTTCCCAATCAGTCTAACATGCATGTTTTTTGTCTGTCGGAGGAAACCGGAGTACCTGGAGAAAGCACACGTATGTATTGAGAGAACATACAAACTCCACCCAGAAAGACCCCTGGCCGAGATTTGAACCGGCGACCTTCTCGCTGAGAATCGGCAGCTCTACCAACTGACCCACCGTGTTATCAGAATGATCTAATTTAAATCAAAACATGTTCCCGGTGTATTGCAGAGAATATCTCTTCAAGCAGCACAGCAAACATTTAGTCCTAAACTGACACCTGGTGTCCTGTCAGAAAGTGGGGTGGGGGTCAGATACAGCATAAGGCGGGGCAGCCATTGTTGAGTTTTCACACTCACTATGATATTTCATGATTGAAAGAGTGAGTATGAGGTTTGTGAGAATCCATGAACACAAGACAGGATGACTGAAAACAAGATTCATCTCAGCTCACGACTTCACTCCGGCCAGGACTCGTTCCCACAAACCTCCCTATCACAGAGCAGACTGGGGGGCGTCCATATGGCCCCTGAGACACCAACAGGGTCCCCAGTGACATAAAGGGAACTCTGCTCCCCAGTTGTCTCCTCTTCTCTTTGGAAAATGTTTTCTCTCCAACTATCTCAGGAATGTCCCATCTGTGGTCCAGCTCCCGTCGGAGTGCAGCAGCTCTTCTGGGGTGAACTTGGTCTCAGCAGAAACAATGGAGCAACACGTCCAGAAGTGTTAGTCGTTTTAACCAGTTTAATGTTTGAGGCAGCAGCAACAAACTCGGTGGGCCCCACTGTGGGCATGAGGGGCATTCATGATGTCAGATTTTCTCCAGTTGACTTCTTCATCTAAATCCAAGAGATTTCCTAAACATAAAAGATCTGTAAGGGGGGGTCTGTACAGAATGGGTTGCCAGGGGTCCCGTTTGTATCGTCAGCTCTTCAAAGTTTTTCAGCTCAGATCCTGGGAAACAAAGTGAGCAGGTGCTGTGTAGGAGGAGCTGTAAATCTGGCCTGCCGAATGAAGCCATTGCTTCGGCATTGTTCCTGCTGGCCTCAGCAGCTCCTGCTGGGGAGGGTGTTAGGTGGGGTGCTTTTTTTTTTTTTTTTGTGTGTGTGAGGGTCTGCTTCCATAAATCTCCCAGCATGGGAAGGGGGGTACACTGGACAATCTGGAAGCCATCTGCAGAGAAAGAAACAGATCACGCAGCACAGAGACGTGACAGATTGTCAAAGTTCACTAAATATTATTTTCTCAATGAAAGTATTAAAGTGGACATTTTATGAAATAGCTGTAAAGCAGCGGATTGTTTCTCCTTGGTGGGTTCTATTAATTGACCTTTGACCTCATGAGTGATCAGCTGCAGCAGAATGTTCTCTCTTGACTCTTGTCTATAAGTTTGGATTCGTCATTTACCAGCCTTAACCTACAGCAGCAGAAGTCTCACTTTGAGCATTTACAGTGAAAATGTCAACGCAAAAGTTATTAGTTCCTTATTTCTTACGTCTATCTTTCTTTTAGTTTTAATTTCTTTATGCCATAATCTCAGATTTTGAAGGTTTCTCCTTGAATTTTGGCTGTTTTTACTCTTTCAACAGTTTGATCTGACAGGTTTGTACAGTTTAGTATTTAAATGTTAAAATGGGTGTTTAATAAAATCAGGCCTAAAAACTGTGCGGTACATGAACAGGTTTTTAAAGCCTGTTTAGAAAAGAAAACCAGACTTTTGAAAACATTAAGACCACATTAAGGGGTTTAAAGAAACGAAGGAATGAGGCCAGACTTTCGGAAATTATTTTAAATATTTGGACGGAGGTTCAGAAATTAGATCGTCTTTTCATTCTTTTTCAGATGTCCTGTTTCCCTCGCTGAAATGTTTTGTTCTTTCATTTCTCAAGCTGTCGTGTATCTTTTGATAAAAGAGGCCGGTGGCGAGCATCAAGGAGACATTTCCCTGAAACAGAGCAGGATGAAAGTTTTACTGCTGACAGCTGGAGAGTGCTCTGCTGACAGAGGGAAGGTGATAACAGAAACTATAATACGAGCTGTACTCCTCCACTTCCTCCACAAAGCTCAAAGGTATCTCCACGCTCATCACCACGTTAAACAGGAGCCGCTGCTAAACGTGCCACCTGCAGGTCTATCCAACCAGTCAGGCCCAGGTTTTATTAAATCTGAGCACAGCTGCTGTGGAGGCCTCCTTTCACTCACTCACACACATTCTTCTTTTCTATCAGGAGGAGCAAACCATCCTGCCCTCAAGTTGAAAGGGTGGGGGGTGGGGGGGGGTAGTGAGGTGATGAGCATCTTACCTTTAGGAGAGGATTAGCTTTATTAAAATGGAAAAGTCTAGTCCTGAGTGACAGAGCAATGAAGAGGCTGGTTGGACAGAGATGAGGGTCCACGGTGTGTGAGGCCCGACCCGGCCCCCCCTGAGGATCTGAGGCACCGCTCCTCTGAGCTCTACCTTCCTTTCATTCTTCACTTTCACTTCTCCCTCCTCCTTACCTCTGCTCTGTCCTCTCATCATCATGGCTGCGGCCCGGAACAGGCAGATCTGTCAGGGCTGCATCTGGACATCTGCCTCAGATGAGCTGCCAAGTCCAGGGGCTGGACTGCAGGAACACCCCCC